CTTCCTGGAGCTGCATTATCCAAGGAACAGGAAGAAATGGGCGATGGAGGGGCAGAGTCTGAAGCGCTGGTCAGTGAGAGCTGACAGCATTGCCACAACTTGCAGCTTCCCCAAGGAAGAGAGGGAACAAAATGGTGACCTTTGGGGTGTACTTGCCTTTTTCTTTCCCCTGAAACCATGCCCCCCTTCCCCCTTTCCTGCTATGACATGGGTGGTATGGAATAGCAACCCAGGCATGCCCACATGGCTCTGAGCTCCACCCCCTGTGGGCAAACCTAGGACACCCAGGAGAGGTTGGATCACATCATCTTGAGGTCCCTTCCAACCTCGTGTTCTGTGATTCTGTGAACTGCACTGCTGCTTGTCTTTCTAGTTCCTTTTTATGTTTGTGTTTAGGGTTTTTTTACTACCATTCAATGGAACTAATAAGAATCATGTATTTTTTTTCAGTGCAAACTTGTCTCTTATAGATGTGATGAATTAATAATATATGCAACTGCTCCTGTAATTTTTTCTGTTATTCCTGCTAATGGTCAGGTATACTGCTGTCCCTATCCAGAGGATGTCATAATGGAATATAAGCAGCAATCCTGGCATTCTAAGAGTTCAGGACTCCTTTTGTCAACAGGTTTCAAACTCAAGAATTTCCTTCTGGTCTGGTGGATCGTTGCATTTTTAGCTGCACAGAAGCACAGCTTTAGTGAGAGGAATAAAAATTAGTGCATCCAAGGGTTGAGTTTGTTGGGGTTTTTTGAGTTTGGTTTTTTTGGTTGGTTGGTTTGTTTGGTTTGCTTTGCTTTTTTTTGGCACTAGCCATCAGCCTTCCTTTTCTTTGAAAAGTAGGTTAAGATGGAGTAAAATTTCTGTCAGATGCAGGAGGCATAATTAACCTATATACTGTTATGTGAAAATATAGATGGCTGCAGTTCTGTTTGTAATAAAGTGGAAGAAAACTGCGCACTCTGTTCTTTGTTTTCTAAACAAGACACTGCTAAGCACTGATTCCTATCCAGACTTTGGCCTTGCTGAGATCAGGAAAGTTCACACAGAAATGGAAGTTCACATTAAAATCCTGAAGCTTTTTGGTGTCTTGGAATTACTTTCTGATACTTGAGCTCCTGAATGGAATCAACCTAATTGTAAATATTACCTGTTGTCCACCAGTTGTTTGGAAACAAAGCAGCCTGCTCAGGTTTTTTTCTAGAACCAGTCTTCTTAATGACATGATTTTTTTGGAAGGAACACTATGTGAAATTAGCTTAAATTTGATTTAATAATAGTCACCTAATAAAATTATTTTCCTGGTTCCAGCTTTTTCCCTTTTGTAACCTATTTCAGTTTAGCTGTAGGCACAAAATACAAATCGTTGACTCTCATTTGGATGTTGAGATCACTTTGTTTTTCCTGGTTGAAAAATATTCACCACCCCATTACCTTCTTGATCACTAGTATATCTACAAAAAGAAATATTTTCTCTTTGCTGATTATTTTCCGTCTTTGGAGCTTTTCCAAGGAAAATCACTTAGGCTGTTGATGGTATGGAAAAATGTTGAGAAGTCCATGTTAGTATTCAGAATGTGCTATTGTGGAGTTCTTAACTGCTGCTTAATTCTAGTTTCCATAGCACTTCAGCTAAATTGTAGTTATTGTCTGTGTACTGTACATTTATTTTGATTGGATCAACAAGAAGTTTTTGGAAGTTTTAAAGTACTTAAGGCTACCAGGACAATTCTGATGACTAGGTGTTGTGAAGTATAGATGTGTGTGTTGTGGCACTTGCAGCTTGAGATAAATGAGCATTTTAGCTAGCAGTGTAACCTTTCCCCTTTTTGTGGTCTGTTTACTGTTTACCTTTTGGTAGTCAGCTCTTTTTAGAATGAGTGCATTGATGGACATTTTCATTGGCTACAGTTTTACTGAGAAGATTAGTCCTAAGAAATCTTTTTTGTGAGGAACTAGGATCAAGTTCAATTGAGTATCTTCAGTATTAACTAAGCCTCACACTTTGTGCATTTTAGGCCTGTTTTCTTTGATTAACTGCGAAGCAAGTCTTTGGGCTGATGCACTGGTCAGTCATGGGTCTAAGTGTGGGTTCTTTGATCCTGTGTCTGTTCCTGCTTCCCATACCCTGGTACCCACTATCTCAGGTAGTCAGTGGGATAGTCAGGACTTTGAGGAGCTTTTCAGGCATAATCTACATGCAAGGCATGTTCACTCTACCTTCCTGTTCTTCCACCTGAGAAGAAAAATTTCCTCTTCTGTGCATGTTGATGGAATAATCCCTCTTCAAGGAAGGGATTTTGTAGTGGATTTGTTCGGAGTAGATAGTGTGCCAATATTTAAAGGTATGTGGTGGGGTTTTGAGGGTTTCTTTGTTTGATTTTTTTTTTTTGTTCCTTTTTTTTTTTGGTTTTGCCTTTTTTAAAAAAAAAGCTTTTCATATTTGAGTTAGTTGGGACCATTGAATTAGACTTGCTGAATCTTCAGAGGATTAAATTTAGAATTGTGCCTTCAACTATATGTCTCATATCTCTGGATTTAAATGTCTTCATGTGATCCTAACAAATCTTTAACACCTAAAAGAATCCTTAACACTTTCAGACTACTCTTACCACACGTATTCCTTCTAGATTGTGTGCTCTGGGATACCAGTTTTGGTCATCATCTGGGTGGTTCTGGTTACAGTCAGATTCATAGAATATCCTGAATTGGAAGGGACCCACTAGGGTCATCAAAGTCCAACTCCTGGCCCTGCACAGGACAACCCCAGGGATCACACCCTGTGCCAACCTTGTCCAAATGTTTCTTGAACTGACAGGTTTGTTGCTCTGACCACTTCCAAGTAAATATACTGGTAGTACATATACTGAAGTAGATACACTGGTTTATGTCAGTGGTAAATAAAAGGAAACTACTCTTCTTTTTTAAAATTAAGACTACTGCTATTAAAGAGTTCTCTTTTACTGTCTTTAGGTGAGTGGCAGTGGCTCTTGGTGACTTGCATCCTTCTTGCAAATCTGTAGAGAGTAATGACTGTATTTGTCATCTCTATGTCAAAGTATTTTAATGAATCCTGATTTAGGGGATACTTTGAAACTCCATTGGGAAACTCTAGGGAGAAACAGTACTTTTATCTCTTCTGACAGATGATCAGTGGCTCTGAACACACGTGTCCTGTAGAGTGTAGTGCTTTCATTTATCACTGCTTGTGTGTATTTTACTATCTCTTAAGAATATACCTGTCCTGGAGTCTCTAGTCATTACTGTTGAAGATGAAGCATCCTGTCCAGCATCACAACTTTCACGATTACACAGTATAATCTGCTCAAATTCCATGAGTAGTGTAGTGACCCTCAGACCAGGAACTAAGGTCTGTGCTCTATTTTTGTTTGTATTAAGTATTTAACTCCCTTTTCACTGGGAGGCTATTACTGAACTTAAAAAGGGAGTTTATCAGGAGAACACTGGGTACTGACACCTGTATAAAGAAATTCATTCTCTGTTAGTAAACCAGTAATGGACATTGCAGCTCAGTTCCTGGTATACCCCTTGCCTTTTATGAAGATGTGTTGGATTTGTTGGCAAAGTGCACCTTTTAAATGAAAAGGTTTTTGGTAAATATCTGCAATTCATTCAAATTGGCAAGGCAATGCCAGAAATCATTAGGCTTACTCTTAAAAGGGCTCTTGGATACCAGAGAGGAAGAGCCTGCATTTTGCCATGCTTACATTAATTATATATACTGACCAATACAGAACAAGTATTGTCTGTGCTTTAAAACTTACTCAATGCAGTCATGCTGAAAACTTAAATGTCTCTTTAAGAATAAGTGAAAGACCCAGATTTGGTGCAGATCTGTCTGAATTTATGGTTTTTAAAAAGGAGACTGCTTTTGCTTTTCAAATTACAGTTTGAAGCAGTAATTTTACAGAGCCTTTAGATTACCATTTCCATGTATTTGCTTTAGGGTCTTAAACATCACCTTCAGGCTAGTAAATTAGTTGTGATAAGGGAGGTCTCCCCTCTTTTCTCAGAGTATGTTGTAACCATTTCTTTGCTTTTGCCTACTATTGCTTCATCATGATAACTTTATTCTCCCATCAGTAGTTCAGCTGGAAGATCAACAGTTGGTCACTGTCTCTTAGTTATACTGGTGGGGGCTCTGTTGTGATTTTTAAGTTGAAGCTAATGAATGGTGTTACTCATTAACCTGAATTTCTGTGCACTTCAATTTTCATTAAATCTTACCATAATTATAGGTCACCTAGCTGGCTTAAATATAGTTGTTTTAAAACTAAATGGAGTTATAAATGATTGGGCTGTGGTGAACTGTTTTGGATGGTAAGCAGAAAATAGGCTAGAAAATACTAAGGGAAAAAAAGGCATGAAAAATCTTTAATCTTCAGGGTATTTCACTGTCTTTTCTTAAGCTTAGATGGGATTTCAGTTAATTTTAAAGTAAAATCTGAAGTGCAGAATTAAGAGGTTTGGTTTTGAGCATCCATGTTTATACTGTAAAGGTGTTTGTTCTCATTAGGTACAATGAAGCAAATCTTCCACATAATTGCATTAGTGATACGTGACATTAAAGCTTAATTGGCTTATTTTAAATATCTTGCACATCAATTTTTTTCAGATTGTGAAAATTGAAAAGGTCATGAGTGCAGTTTGATATTCCAGGGTGAGAGATTTCAATTTTAGTACAATTTGTAGAAATTTAATTAGGAGACATGACTAAAAGAAAAAGGATGTTGAATACAAATTAGGCTGTTCATTAGAGTATACAAGCTGAAACATCTTGAAGTATTGTGGAAATTTGATTGCACATTCAGTGAGCACCTTGAATGATTTTTTTTTTAAGTTATTTTTATTTTTTAAGTAGAAGTTATTGTAATTGTTCTTCACGGTGTAGACTTAATCTAATTGTCATAGGCACTCTAAACTAAAATGCACTTCCTTTTTTATGGACTTCTCTTTTAAACAATATTTTTGTTTTGTAGGAGATTGATGAAGCCTGCAAGAGGATAAAACGAGAAATTGATGATTTAGGTCCTGAAGTCGGTGACATCAAAATCATTCCATTGTATTCCACCCTTCCTCCACAGCAACAGCAAAGGATATTTGAACCTCCCCCACCAAAAAAACAAAATGGAGCAATAGGAAGAAAGGTAAATACTATGCTGTTTCAGTATTCTGTTCTGTAAGTATCTGCTCACAGTTGTGGGGGCAATGAAATAAGATAGATAACTTGGAATTTGTTTCTCAGTGCAAATCAAAGTTCTGTCTTCCATCTATATAAGACCAGGATGTTGTAATAACAGTTTGATTTATGTTCCTGTGAGAAATATGATTTATGTGGAGGGATGGGATTTTTTCCATAGGTAATTATTTTGAGACATGCTCTTTTTTTTTTAAACAAAAAAGAACTTCTCTTCAGGGGAGGTAGTCGGGCAGGTTTTCTCTGTTTCTTAAGGTTTTTGAGTAAGGTGCAAGTTACAAGAAGTATGTTGAAGTTAGAGGTTTGTGCTTTCTGTAGTAGTAAATGAGGAATTGAGGTTCTTTCATTGGGCAAAATGGATTGAGAAACTGAAAAACTTGAAATGGCACAGTGAATGTTCTTCATAAAATTAATGTCAGTGCTCACATAATGCACATTAGAAGCTATACGGTTATTTTGCTAAAACTGAACATTGGAAAGGAGTTGTACCAGAGCTTCCTGAAATTAAACAAATGCTCTATGAAACCAGCAGTCACAAAGCTAAGATTTTGAAGGTGTAAGCTGAATCATACCAGGTGCTCTAGGCAGGGATTCTTCCTTGATTGTTTGGTTTTTTTGTGCAATAGAATGCATGTAGAATACTAGTGACAACTTTCTAGTGTTCTGGAAGAGTAAATCACTTAATAAATTTAGTGAAATTATCTTCGTTTTCCTGTTGAAGTTGACTGCAGGAAGCATTCAGTCTGAAATCATGAAACTAATGCTGCATCAAGATTGTATTAGTAAATGACTTAAATGAATGAAATTGCTCGTAAGTAACGAACAAGTGGTGGCTGTGTATTTCATTAAATTTTCATTCATATTTAAAATTGTGCCCTTCAAGATAGGCAGTTTTTGGTTTTCTGCATAAGAGGATAACAAGTGCAGAGTGTAGGTTTTGTTATGTTGAACTGTCAGAGCCAGTACCAGTCTCTGAGAGGAAGACACTCTTGGTGTAGCAGCTATTTCACTACAAGAAAATTTGTTACACCCAAAGGGTACCAACTGTAGACACAATAAATAGGCAGCAGACTCAGACCTATGAAGTTACTTTTCCTCTTTGCCTGCTTTGGCTGAAATGTTCTGGCTTCCATGTTTTAGTTTTTATCTTCATAACAAATCTAGCTATCAGTGAAAGTGTGTCTGTGTTGTGAATTTGTTAAAATGTTGGTTTAGTTTCATTTGGTTTTGGTGATCAAGATCTGTAAAGAAAAACCATGTGTTGCTGTGCCTCCGTATCTTAAAACCAGTTTCCTGTGGGAGTCAAACTTAGGTTTTAGAACTGCTGAAGAGAGAGCTAGCAGGTGGTGTGTATTGTTTCAAAGGCTCTGATGGTCATAAAAATGTAAGTGAAGTGCTTGCAGTGTCTCCTGAGCTTTAACTTTGTGAAAGGAAAGATACTGGAAGTTTTGTGGCATCTTGCAGTAGCCGTGATGGTAACAGCTAGTAGTGACACAGCTTGATAACTTAGCGCTTTTTTTGTTCCTCTTTGGGCTAGGAAAAAGCAGTTATTATTGTGAGAAAGCTTAAGATTAGAGATAAAAAACCACAGTTAATCAGAGTATTTAATTGATACTGTGGAGGAATATGAAGATGACTTAACAAAGAACGTTTCTATTCTTATCCCATGTTAAAAGCTCCCTGTCTTATCCCTTCTTTTCAAACTGTTCTAGTTTGTTTCAGCAGTCTTAAGCATTGCTGCTTAATACATATGCAATATGGATGTATTTTTAGATGTAGATGCTATATCTATTTTAATATTGAAAATAAGGTGTTTAAATTTGTCTCAGTAACTGCAAAACTGCAGCTAAAGCTATTTAGGTACAATTTATTATTTTATGTAGTTTAGCGCTAATTTCAGTTGTTTGATTTCCAGGTAACTTTGTACTTGGATTTAAGCTTGAAAGTTGTGGTGTAATTTCATCACTTTTTTTTTCTTTTTTTTGAATTCCTTGTGTTTTTACATTAATGAATTTTAGTTTCATTAAGCAGTTACATTTACAAATAATATCTGTACATAGAACAAAATCCACTGTGTAGATAACTTTTTTCATTCTACCTTTGGAAACTTCGTATGATTCAAGTATAAATTAAGTAAATTCAGGTACAAGTTAAATTGCTGTACCTTTTTGGACTAAGCATACTAACAGTGTTGAGTTCTTGGTATTGAAGTGTCCTAATAGAAGTCAGTGATTAAAAGCAGGACCAAAATCTTTTGTCACTTCTCTGTAATTGGTGTTTGAAGATTTTGGGTATGGACAGTTCTGTACATTAGCAGATACAGAAAAACCTGGAACCTTTTAGATGAGGTATATTCTGTAACAGCAAGTTGAATGTGGATTGACTGGCCTTTTAACGTGAAAGTGTCAGTTTAATTTGCATATTTATGGCTTGCAAATCTTTTATGAAAATATATTGCAATTTTGCGCTGAATTGCATTTATGTTTGTGGCCTTTATTTCTTTATCTATCTCTGTAATATGTGCAGGTTACATGAGAATGAAATGTGTACAGGATTTTTTTTGTTTGTTTGAGGAATTCTAAGTAGCACATTGTTTCAGGGTGAAACACCGTAATTCCAAATTGACAGTGTTTTTTCCACCAAAGTATTGCTTTCAATATATGGTAGTATTTGGGCAAGCTTAAACCTTAAGTCTACTTAAGAAGAGACAAGCTGAGTGTAGTAAGTAGCTGACTGGCAAAATGATCAGCCAGCGGGAGGGAAAATCAGTGGGATTATCAATCTAGTCCAGCCACTGGCTTCATTGTAATACTGAACAAAGTGTCAGGGGCCTCTCCAGTTCTAATTGCTCAACTGAAAACAGCGATGACAAAATGCTCTGAAATTAAGACATGAAAGGTAAGTAGTTTTGATGAACTGCCGAACAAGTTTTGGGTCTTTTCTGAGATAGCTGATTAAATGTGCTAATAATGAGATTCAGTGTAGCTACTGTTGGGATGAGAGCTAATGGTATCTATAGACTGCTACACTGCATCTCTGGGCACAGAATTTAAATAGTGGCAAAATTAAGCCTCAGGACTCTGGTATCGCCTTTAATTTTTGCACAAGACATAACCTTCAGAAAGTTTATAGAAATTTAAGAATGTAACATTAAAGATCTGTAACAGTGTTTGAACATCTGGAGACAGAAAAAGACAAAGTTAAAATTAAATACACATTGTTCGGGATTTTAGCTGGAATGTATTGATAACTGCTTTATTGCAAATCAAATAAAAGAAAATACTGTGGTGGTACTGTATATAACCTCTGATTTAATATTATTTAACCAGTTTGTACTGTTCAGGCTTTCAAAAAAGGTAAAAAACTGCAATTAACAGATGATGTTAAAGGGATCCAGTGTAATTTGTCATTTTGTATCAGACAAGTGAGAAAAATTTTGAATAGCGGTTTCATAAGTAAAATTTTTGCTCTTTCTTTTTCTCAAAATTAACATTTGTTATGTTGTTAATAGACTCATAGTGGAGGAAAAAGAGTGGACAAAATTTGCTCTTTTCACTAGAAGTTCATTGGGTTGATTTCAGATCATCCTGTGAAAGTGTTAAAGTGCAGCTCTGGTCATTACTGGTGCAGTGAAGGAAAGTTTGCTGAAAATCGTTTGTGCAGAGACAAAATCAGAGCTCTTCATGTTTACAATGCAGTAACTTCATTTAATTGTTTGTTTTTTTGGGTTTTCTTGACAGGTGGTTGTGTCCACTAACATTGCTGAGACATCATTAACAATAGATGGTGTTGTGTTTGTGATTGATCCTGGCTTTGCAAAACAGAAGGTAAATGCTATTTTGTCTTCTTTTTCTTTATAGTGGGAAAGATGCTGGAATCTGGTTTGCTCAGGTAGCTGTTCCCTTTGTAGACACCAGGTCTTTTTTCCATTTGAAATCTTAAACTTGGTTGTTGAGTTTTTGTTTTATTTTTAGCTTGCAGGTTTTCATTTAGTCTGCAAATTTTAGATAGAAGAATTTTATTTTAAAAAATTAAAAGAAACGTGAGAACTTAGAATTGGGCCTGGAATGTGGATTTTCTGAATACTTTAGGATGGTTGGTTTTGTACTTTGTGTCTATGTTTGGGAATGCTCAAGTAAAACTAAGAAATTGTATGAAAATAAATTAAAACTGGTGCTAGAAGCCTCCTCTTCTTTTAAGTCACTCCAATAGAAAACTCCAGCACTAAAATAAGAAGAAAGAAATGATACATACTATTTTATATCAGTATTTATCATGTCCTGTTGCAGCCCTGAAGATTGTAATCAAGCTCGTACTGTGATCTTGGAACATCATAGGATGTTGAGAGGAACGGAAGTAGTTTTCCTATAGTCAACCCAATAACTAAAGAAAGAATAAAATGCATTTTATATTAATAATTTAGTTTTTTCACTAACTGTAACTTTCTTAACAACTTGGTTTCTTAGACTTTTTGTTTAACACCAATACACACTGTCAACCTTTTAAACTTTGGCAAAATGTGGCAGACATAGAGCAGAATGTGAGTACAGTAACAGTGCATCTTCATGCACAAGTTTCCATCACCATTTAGGCTGAGGTTTTTTCACAGGTAGTTCTTATACCAGAAGAATACCTTCTGTAGAAAGAACTAAAGTTTTTGTACAGATTTTATACTTACACCAGAAAGGTGTTAAAACGGGAACCAAGAACATCTTCAACTGAAACTACTGTCTGATACTGCCTTTTTTTACAGTATATTCCTTTCCATGAGCCCTATTGACTTGGCAGGGCTGCTGTTTTAACCATGACTGCAGTGGAAGTTTTACAGTAAATACCACCACGTATTTTTTACTGTGGCAGTCTGCATGTACCCTTGAAATAGAGTTTTGTTTTGTCATCAGCCTCATTTTTACAGTTCTGTTCAACCTTAATGTTCGATTTTTCTGATCTCTAGAACATGATTATTCAATCTCATAATTACATCAAGACAGCTTTTTTTATGGAATTTTTTGAGCAACATGATTGTTTTGCACTCTGTAGAACAAATTGGACGTGTTCCTTTTGCCATGAAAATCTTAATCTAAAAATACACGCACTTAAAGGAGAACAGGGAACCTGGCAGGAGTTGCTGTTAACAGATGAATAAAAAATGCTGTTCTCTAGACAGTTGTATTTGAAGCTCTCTGTCACTGATCCAGAGCATTTTGTAGCAAGTTTTTTTTCTCCTTTCAGATATATACAACTTGTGATTTCCTAGTCAGAAGCTGTGCTTGACAATACATTTAAAGCAGCCTTTATTTTTTCAGATAGTTGTCTTATCCATGAACTGTTTATTCTTTTCCTTCTTTCCTGCTCTGCTTCCACTTTCAAATAGGTGTACAACCCTCGTATCAGGGTGGAGTCTCTCTTGGTGACTGCGATCAGTAAAGCTTCTGCTCAGCAGCGAGCTGGCCGTGCTGGCCGTACTCGACCAGGCAAGTGCTTCAGGCTCTACACAGAGAAGGCCTACAAAACTGAAATGCAGGTAAGGTTACTTCTTGTAGATTATGTTTATAAGCACACCTGATTCAGATAGTTGAGTGCCGTGCTGTTAAACAAAATCAGAATTTGAATGCTTCTGGACTATAAAGGGGTTGGAAGAACAAGCGTTTTGAATTGTCTTTTTTTTCCCCTCCCCCCCAGGACAACACATACCCTGAAATTTTGAGATCTAACTTAGGATCTGTAGTATTACAGCTCAAGAAGCTTGGTATAGATGATTTGGTGCACTTTGATTTTATGGATCCTCCAGGTATCTATTTCCATCTTTCCAATCTTTATTTTTGTGACTATTTTATATAATGACAACATGGAATAAATTCTTTTACCTTTTCTTTTTCTGTTTTTTTTTTTTTTTTAATTGTAGTCTGTAAGGAATGTCTTTTGTTTATCCTGAAATTTAGTGCTCTGTGTCATATTAAAACAAACTTTTTGTATTTCTGTCTGTGTAAAAGCTTTTAATGGAACCAAGGAATCTACTGAATGCCCCTTGCCTGCAGAGAATAAGAGAAAATTATGGGCATTAGAAAGTCTATTATTTGAAATTCTTTTACTTATCACCTTGATTACACATTCTAATTGTGTAAAATTGGCTAGTGTTGTTAAAGCTGAATACGTGATTTTGGCTCAGACTATAAAGTTAATGTGTATCTTCTTAATGTGTATCTTTAAATGTTCATATATGCTTCCAAAATAACTGGTTTATATTGCTAATTAAAAATGTAGATCAGCCATGTATAAATATGTTAGCTAGTTGGTTTTCCCCCCCTCAAATAAAAATATAACATAGTCTGTAAGCTTTTAAGTAGTTCTATTTTTCTAGAATTCTAGAAGTTCTATAAATTCTATAATTGAATACTTGAATTTCCTTCTGTTTTATTTTGTGGGTTAATACAGACTCTGTATGAGAAGTGCAGGATTAAGAAAACATTCTTGCTGGCTTTGTGAAAGACTGTAGATACCTAAAGTTGACATGGCTGAGATTTTAGGGCTGTATTGATCTGTTTGGTATGGAACAAGGGAAAAGGTATCTGCAGGGAGAGGAAGTGATGTTACTATGATACTGAGTATATCACAATGCCACTGCTGTCTGAATTTTGAAAAGCAGTAATCTCCAAATATTTAAAACTTGTGATTAAAGCTTTTTTAAATGAATTTTGTTTCCTCCCCTACACCCGTATTCATTCGCACCTGGGTGTGTGTTAGTGAATTTGGTAGCAGTTTTGTGTTTGGATGCTAGTGAATGGAGAACAAAAAAACCAAGAAGATAGCTTATGATAGTCTGTGCTTCCTCATTTTTTGCTGATTCAGAGCAGTTTGGTTAATGTGCCTACTTACATACTTTTTTCTTTCAGCTCCTGAAACTCTGATGAGAGCCTTAGAGCTTTTAAATTACCTGGCTGCTTTAAATGATGATGGAGATTTGACTGAATTGGGATCCATGATGGCTGAATTTCCATTGGACCCACAGCTGGCTAAAATGGTTATTGCAAGCTGTGACTACAACTGTTCTAATGAGGTCCTATCTATTACTGCCATGTTGTCAGGTAATAGCAGGAAAAGAGATACTAAACAAAATGCAGATCTTCAGTTTGGGGGAAATTTGAGTTTTCCACATAAAAAAAATCATGTATTTCTAATAAAATTAGAATTGTTTTTTAAAACTTCATATATGGGTTCAGTCATTATAGATTTATGTAGAGATCTTGAACCTAATCAGTAGTAATGTTAAGAAATTAAGACACATAAAATGGCTAAAGAGTTTGCTCCTAATATCAGTTAAAAGTGTATATATTTGAGTTGTTGGGTGGGGGGAGGGAATCAGGGTAATGGAACAGAAATTTCTACTCAGGCTCATAGGCAGGATCAGAAATGTCAGTTCAGCCACTCAGTTTAAGGCAGTGACATCTGTTACATATTGTGCATTCTCCTGCACTTTGATAAATCTCAGTATTCCCAAAGGGATTACAGTCTAATTTATATTAAACCACAAGCTTGTACATGAAGTACACTTTTCAGTCATTAAGTGGCAAAACTGGAGAGCAGTCATTACTTTTAAATGGAAAAAAGAAACTTGGGGCGAGGATGTATCTTTATAAGAATTGACTTAAGTGCACAGCTGTACTTTGCTGCTGTGTCACATGAATAGCTCTGTGTCAGAGCAGAGCTGCTTGCTGAGAGAGCTTAATGGGGAGGAAAATGTTACCACACAAATTTGTATTTAATTTCCCAGTTACATAGAACTGATGTTGATTTGTAGTTATAGGTCATAGGACAAGCAACAAATGGGGATGTTCTTACTCCTAAGTACTCTTTTGTCTTTGGGGTGTGCTATTTTACCAGTGCTCTCCACAGCACAGGTTTGCTACTGACATACTTAACTTGGTTGGATAGAGAAAAAAAAACATTTTGACTAAGTATAAAATCTGTTGCTTCAGTTTAGTCTAACAGTATATATATATGAAAGTTTTTAAGAACAAGATAAAATGTTTGTTGCAGAGTTATGATTGTTCAGACTCAGAGCAGATGGGCAGGGCAGAATCATAATATTTTTTTTAATTAAATGGTAGGCTTAATTGCGGAGGTGGTGGTAGGTTGGTGCCTGTCTTTCTCTTCCCTTCTGCCAATATCTACTACAGAACAAGTCAGTCTAATATTTTTGTCAGTGACCTTCAACTGATTAGCCTTACTCCTTTTCCAGTTTACCTTTTCCCAGGTCATGATAGCTTTTTTTGTTTTAAGGCACAATTAATATAATGATTAATAAGTGGGGGGGGAATAAAACATGGATTGAAGATGGTTGATGTGCGTGTTATAACTAACATACTACTCTTAAAGAAACCCCTCACGTAATCCTGGTATTTGTGAGGACTATTTCCCAAAGCAAGCACTTTTTTTATAAACCAGCAGCATGATTATATGTTTTGGTGCCTAAAGTCCTCATAAAGATTGTCAGGCTTTGGATAGTAATCCATGTATTAAGTTTGGACTGAATGGGAAACTAGGTACCAGAAAGGAGCAAAAATAGCATTGAATAAATGAGCAGATCAAATGATTGTACTTCATTTTATAAGAGCTTTGGTGTCTTGCTGTGGTATGGAAAGTGCTATTACTTATTCAAAACAGTTAAGACAGTTAATTTGGATTTTGCTTTTATTAATCTGAGTTTGAAATTAAAATTATATTATCTCTTTTTTCAAATGCAGGACCCACTATTCAGGGTGTTTATTTCACACCTGCATTTCCATTTTCTTTAATGCATTGGTCTTTGTTGATTTGTTACCATGTGATTCACTGTTGCAGTGTGTATTTTTTTCTCAAGTTCCGTCCAGTATTCAGCTCACATATTTAGTGCTTTGGGGCTTTTATGCAAATTTGAGAATAAAATAAAATAAAACCACATAACACCCCACAAAAAAGCCCTCATCTGATAGATCATATGCAAAGAGGTGTTCTCATGAGATTGCTGGGCTTCAGTTATGCGGAAGCTAATGTAGTCTCAAACAGATGGAAATAGATAAAGGATTTGTAACATCTTAGCATTAATTTTATTGAAATTTAACCTCTTAAAAATTACATCTACTTTAAACACAACTGATTTTTTTTACGCTGTAGATCTCTGTAAAGTGAATCACAGAATGGGTAGGGTTGGAAGGGATCACAGTGGGTCACCTGGTCCAACCTCCCTGCTCCAACAGACCCCTTTTATAAGTTCTTTCAAGATCTCCTGAATTAGTATCAATCTTACAAACTTACTAGAATGTTGACAGACCATGAATTAGGTTGGCTGCAATGCTATTTGTGGTCTTTGCTAGTCTGTATTTGGAAAGGAGGTGGAAAAACGATTTTTGGACTCAAGTCAGACTGAGTCAGATATGTTTAAGAGAACAAAATAATAGGAGAAAGCTCATCATGTTGCATTTTTTTAATATGTTTTTTATTTGAAGTAGTGCCAAAGGACAGTTTAACCTTCCACCACTACCGCTACCATCACAACCTTTAGACTTATTAATACCTTCATTCACATGTTTCTGTATACCAGTGCTGATAACAATACCATCTGGGAAGAGACTTGACTAGTGTGTTCTGGCTAGTAACAGACCTTTGATAATTCAAACTCATGTTTGTTTAGACTGTACTGTGCAGTACAGTTTCAGAACTATCTTCTTTACTCTGTCTGTAGGGGCTTTCTGAAAAAGCAATTTGCAGTTAAAGTGTTTTATTCCATGGAGTACTAGCTCCTGGTAGAGCTATCAGCACTGGATTTGAACTAAGATCTGTTTAGCCTTCCAGCAGGTAATCTTGATGGCCTTCAGACTAGAGATTTTGATGCCTACATATAGTTCTATTAAAATAATCAGGTACTCTGTAGCTTTGAAACCCTCTTGTCTTACAGATGTGGTTAGGTGTTGATGTACCAAATCATGGTAGTAAACAGTCCAAGATGCAGTTGGAGGCCATCCTGCCCTGCCCTATGCTCTGTGAACTGACCTAGCTAGGCCTTGTTCCTCTATCTGTGAATGCGTGACTCATCGATATGGGCGTTTGTGTTGGGCCCATACCAACCTTGTTTAGTCCCACAGTGTTTTGTTCGCCCCACGGAAGCAAAGAAAGCAGCAGATGAAGCCAAGATGAGGTTTGCCCACATAGATGGAGATCATTTGACGTTGCTGAATGTCTACCATGCTTTCAAGCAAAGTAAGTCTGTCTGTTTTGGGAAATTATTTATAATGCTTTGTGCTGTCAACTTTCGTTCCTGGGTTCCAAGGGCAGTTTGGAAGGCTTGGGCTTGGGTTTTATTATTTAAGTTCTACTTGCCTTTGGGGGTCAAACAAAACCAAAAAACTACCCAAGAAATCATGTAATGAACTGATGAGCATGGGGACAAGCCAGGCTTTTAAATCAATGCCGAGTAACCTTGGACAGAAGGAAGCAAGTGTTCCTATAATTAAGAAATATTGGAAGTTTATCTGACATTAATTATAAAAAGTCTGCATAATTGCTTAGTGATTTATCAGGGAAAGCAGTGCAGAAATTGGTGTGAATTCAATGCTGTGAATTTGGAGAAGGATATGTTCCTAGAACCAAAACCTTTTTAATCCTAACTTTTTAATATAGTTAGGAATTCTGTAATAAGGCTTTAGAATAGGTGAGAGGCAAAGGGATGATGCATCAACAAGAAGTAACTTGGAGCCCTGCAATACATTTATTTAATTTGTGTCATTTCTGTGTATGGAATTTAGGGAAAACGTGTGGTCCTCCAGAGCATAGCTGAAGGATATTTTAGCAGCTTGAAAAAGATAGGAAGGAACAGGTAAAGCTAGTTCTCTTAAAAAATGACTACCTAAGTGTCACACTTTTTTTACGTGACTTACGCTGGTGGCCAGTAAAAAGATTACTATTAACTGCCAGTGAGGTTAAATTACATGCTCCAGTTGCATTTTCCTGTAAGCAAACAGAAAAGCAACAGTTTTTACCTTGAGTAGAAACCCTGCAGCTTAGTGCTTCTTCCTGTTTCAGTTTTGATTTAGAAAATTTGTATTGAAACCTTCTAACACTGTCATCATGTGACAATCCAAAATAAGGATACCTTCAGAGTAAAAGTCCCAACAAATTTATTCCATGTGTTTAAAACAATAGCTGAGAAACTTTTGTTAAACCCCTGTAAATTGGAGACGTGTTGCTTGTGTTTTTCTGTCAACTTTTTAGTTAACAAGGATCCAAGATGTCTTACAAACATCCTGTGTGGGCATGTTTCTGGAAGCTGCTGCTTTCATACTCTGGTTACTGAGGGATGGAATTATTTTGGGAATCATCTTTTGTTCAGTTTTGCTTTGAAATTGTGAATTGATTTCTGGAATCAGAAGATAAAATACTGTTACTATTTGTATCTAGAACAATATAAAATATTTATGGGTTATCCACGATGCACAGTTCAGGTGGCTCAGAAAGTAACATGCTGCGGTACTTCACTATACAGTAGAATCCTAACTGTACAAGAGCTTCATCATTCATACTTGATTTAACACATATTCTGTAAGATAAAGCACAGAAAGAACTTGGACCTACCTCAAATTACATAACTTTCCTTCTTTTCAATGCAAATTAAGAAAAGTCTCATTCTGTACAGGAGTTACCTTAACTTTTAATTCTTGTTAAGACAGGCTTTGTTGGATTATTAAACTGACAAAGATTAGAAGAGCATTACTTGAAAAGTAACAGAATTGGTAGGGAATGTGAAACATGCAGGTATTTATCCTGATAGCATGGCAGAGGCTTGCTGTTTTAGCAGTTTCTTCTTAGAGCCTCACCAGTAGGAAGGGTAACATGAGAGTACAGAGTTGTGTTACAGTTGCTGTATTTTACCAGCCACCTACATTTACTTAAACTACTGTGAGGTGCATCACATTAAAACAGTCTGTATAGCTCTTAGCTGTTACCTGAATGCTTAATTTAAGGGGATTTCATTTCTAAAATACAGCAGTTATGTACAGTCATCTTGCCTGTTTGCATGCTACAGTTAAAGATTGCAGTGTTCCTTACATAAAGTTATGTTTTTCACTGCGGGTTTGGAAGACGATTTTTTTACTTACAGGGTGTGATTTTTGAAATGTCCAAAGTTTAGTGGTGTGTGGTATTTCAGCAGAACATGAGTGATTGTGTGTATGTTGTGTTGGTGAGGAGAAAAAAACTGATTTTTTTTTCTGTCCTGATCACACGCCTCCTGAATAGAAAGCAGTTTTGGCAAGTTACCTAATGCAGGAAATCAGCTGAACAAACTAAAAGCTGCTGTCATCTATAAAGGTTTATGGATATTTTTTTCTGGTTCATCTGACTGATCAGTTGGTTAGTTGCTATTTTATTTACATGTTCTAATTTTGATTCATGTTTTCTAATGTTGCAGATCATGAGTCGGTTCAGTGGTGTTATGACAACTTCATTAACTACAGGTCCCTGATGTCTGCAGACAATGTACGCCAACAGCTGTCACGAATCATGGATAGATTTAATTTGCCCCGTAGAAGCACAGACTTTACCAGCCGAGACTATTACATCAACATCAGAAAGGCATTAGTTACTGGGTATTTCATGCAGGTATGTGTGTATTCTCATAGGTAACTTAGTTCAGTGTTTATGTGGCTCATAATGTTAGTATGGTTGTTATAATTTGTCAAAACTCAATGAATGTTACTTAAATTATACATGGCTAACTATATTGCCACCTTGTCTTTGTCAGGTTGCTTAGTTATTACTCAGGTAGCACTAACCAAGACCTGTGGTTGATGTCAGACAGCACAGGCCTGTATTAACTGTTGTAATAGTACTAATTACATAGTCAGTACTAAATACTGTATGTTTGCCTGCCTTCAATTTGGTGTTAGCGATGGATAAATGGGATGTTGGTGATGAATCATCTCTTTACCCTTCATATTTAAATGTAAACTTGAATTCCAGTGAATTTACCATAGACAAAGTGAGTAGTAGAATAGTTTAAAACTGTCAACAATTCTGTGTATAGTAAAACTTGGGAAAGATAGATATTGACAAGAAGTTAAGTGTCTTGTAAAACTTTCATGCTAAATCTAAGATTTCTTACAGTTTTCATTGTGCAAAATTTTTTTAAAATATGTTTCTGTATCACACATCAGAATATGCAAAATATATGTAAAATAGAGCAAGGGTGATGCTTGCTAAATTGCTAAGAAGCTACTCATTGAAATTAAAATACATGAAAGAAATACTACTTTTTCAGTACTTCAGTGCCAGACACAGCCTGTCTTAAGAAGGGAGAGGAATTGGCAAATTGTACAACTAATATAATCGTACTTTGGTAATAAAATTCAAGAACTAGGTGTAGATTATTTATGCAACAGAAGTAGGAGAACTGAGCATACTTTATAGAAACACCTAAATAGGATTAAATACTGTAGCACAGTGTTAGCTCAGGATTGAAGTAAGTCACGGGAGTATGTAACCTCTTAATGGTGACTTATCCATGATATTCATGGAAAACTAATCTTAGCTGAAGTAACTGTGTGGTAAAGAGTAAGCAATAAAAGTTATAGTACAGGAAGTAAGCTAAGGAAGCTTTAAATTGAACAGAAAAAGGGAAGCAAATGACAAAATATCTTAAAGATGAGTTATCTTTCTCTTAGTGATTTGTTTGTTTGTTTTTTACCAGTTGTCATAAAGAACTTAGATTTTTATCATTGTATTTCCAATCTAGTATTGGAGGTAGAAGAAGAATTGATAGTTGAAAATTTACATCAAAATTCAAAGGTGGAAGCAAGTCCTGTGATGTTTTCAAATCACGGAATGGGTCAGGTTGGAAGGGACCACAGTGGGTCATCTGGTCCAACCTTCCAACACAAGCAGGGTCATCCCAGAGCACATTGCATAGGTTTGCATCCAGATGGTGCTTAAATATCTCCAGTGAGGGAGACTCCACAACCTCTCTGGGCAGTCTGTTCCAGTGCTTGGTCACCTGCACAGTAAAGAATTTCTTCCTCCTGTTCAGGTGAAACTTCCTGTGCATCAGTTTCTGCTCATTGCCTCTTGTGCTATTGCTTGGCACCACTGAGAAGAGCCTGGATCCATCTTCTTGACACCTTCCCTTCAGATACTTACAGACATTGATGAGGTCCCCTCTCAGTTGTCTCTTCTTGAGGCCGAACAGGCCCAACTCCCTCAGCCTTTCCTCGTAAGAGAGATGCTCCAGTCCCTTAATTATCTTTGTTGCACTCTGATGGACTCAGTCCAGGAGCTCCATGTCTCTGTTGTACTGGGGAGCCCAGAACTGGACACAGCACTCCAGATGCAGGTCACTAGGGCTGAATAGGAGAGGCAAGATCACCTCCCAGGACCTGCTGGCAATGCTCCTCCTAATGTACCCTGGGATGCCATTGGCGTTCTTGGACACAAATGTATACAGATCAAACTTGGAACCTTTTCTAGAAGATGTGGCTTAGTCAAACACAGGTTATATCATTGTCACTGCAGAGGATAACTTAATTGACCAATACTGTACAGAAAATTAGATGTCAGATGATTTGCCACTGGTGCATTTAATGGTATTCATTTTATTCTAAGAGTGCAGAAGAATGGTGTAAAACTTTTTAATAGATTCAGAAACACTCTTGCGTGCACTGCAAGCAGAAACTTCAGAAGTCCAGGCAACTGACAGTGCTCCTTTGGTGCATGCTAGTATTCTTTTGTCAGAAAGACAGACAAGGAACCATCTAAACTGTCTGTCAAAACTAACCTGCCAAAATTTGTAACCTTAAATATAAAAAGCCTAAATCTTGTGATAGTATTTCTGCTTTTGACCTTTTAAATGCATTTGTATTTACAGTGTTAGACATGTTTGACTAAAGACCCCTTATTGGGCCTCTAGGTTCAATGACATGATAGATAATAAATAATCACAAGCATATTTAAAATTTCAGAGGGGAGAATGTGTAATTTTTACTAAAATTGTGACAAGAACTTGAACTAAAACATGTTCCTGTGGTGGCATGTGCCACTGTTGCCATCTAGGTTTGTCGTGTTGATAAAAGCGTTATAATTATCCCTTAAGTCATCAGCCAGGTGGGCTTTCTGGGGCTGCAGAGTAATCTGTTGCAGAGATGAGCTGGCTTGACTCTTGGCCATCCTTTTAGAGTCATGTTTAGGTAGTCTAATTCACAAAACTTTTAAACTATTGACAGATTCTTTGATGATCTTGGGGTTCAGGTGTGTTCATAGTATCTTGCTTACTACCACTGCTCATCAAAAAATGAACCCATTTACTAGACATACTCTGTATCATCCTGTGGTTTCTGTGGAAGATTGTGGGTTTTTTATACTGTGAAAAACATCACAGAATTGTTGAGGTGGAAGGGCCCTCTGGAGGACACCTGGTCCAACTACCCCTGCATTTGCAGGCACTGGAATTGGTTTTATGCCAGGGTTTCAAAGGAGCATAAGTATGTATGCTGCCTCCCGTGTGTCAGTGTTCGCTCCCTTATGTCACCCTTGGTGCTTGCCTGAGCCTTTCTAAATTCTTTCAGCTCAGTGACCTGGCAGGCCACTTACACCTTCAAATGGGAAGCAAGAATGGGCTCTATCAGCTGTGCTGAAACAGCTCAGGCCAGGAGGGAGCAGGAAAGTGCAGCAGCTGGCACATCACCATGGCTTGCTGTGGAGCCATAGCTTCACTGTGTATTTCTCATAGCATTGCTGATACTGACCCTGAAATTCTTCACTGATGCATGTGGCAACAGGCACACTTTCTAGAAACAGTAGGATAAATACTGTGGGTCAGTGTTGGCTTGGGATCCAAGTCAGTCACAGTAGTATGTAACCACCTAAAGGTGGCTTAATCCCTGATATCAATGGTCTAAGGAAACATTTTCTTCTTAATTGGTATTATTCCAGTTCTTGTCCTTCTCTGGAAATTCAGAGGTCTTTGTACGTTTCTGTAGCATTTTTCTTTGAGTAGGCTTAATTAGTTATTTTGAAATCTTTTTACTTAGTTCAGAATAATACAGATTAATCAAGAAATACAACTACACTATCATTATAAGTTACATGGAAAAGGAAATTGTATGTATTTGGGAAAGGTAGGTTATAAGACTTTGCTACTTCAGTACATCTGAGCGAGACTGAGATGCTAAAGGTAAATTGTATTGAATTTTAACAGCATGCTCTTCTAAAATGAAACCTAAATAAATGATTTGTTCTGTCCTTTTCAAGGAAGAACTAGAACAGATAAAGCACTCTGATATTTTTGTATGCATGTGTATTTTGATCTAAAAAATCAAATTGATTTTAAACAGAACATCCTTTGAAAAAAAAAAGCCTAATCCTACAGCATGGTGTACTGTCTTTGTGCTAGGTCTCTGACAGATGAGTGTCTAGCCTAGTCTGTTTTGCAACTATACTGCTATTTAATTTTGCAAACATTGTATTGAGTTGGATGAAATTAAGCCTAAATTGTCAAAGACAGTGTGCTGTTAATCTCCATTTAAAGGAATCTCTCTTGGCTTCCCAGACTTGAAATAAAGTAGAAGTGTAATCTCTCAAATCTTGGGTGAAAAGATTTGCAGTATATTGAAATACTTTGTTCTAGTCCTAAAACATATTCTGGATAATAATGTCATAATATATAAAAGAGAAGCACACTCAAAGTAAGTAATTCCTTACTAAGGACTTATTCTAACTTAAAATTTCAGGTAGCTGTTGCTTTAGAAGTCCTGAGGTTTTAATTTAATAGGTGGAATTCACTTTTGACTAGGCAAAAAAAAAAAAAGCTATACGTAGAATTAAAAAAAGAAGGGAAGAAAACAAGGGAGTATGCATCTATATTAAAGGAAACCAGCTGATGATGATCTGACCTAAAATGTGTTTTTTGACATCTTTCAGCCATTGTCCATCCTGTTTAATCTTTCTACAGTATTTGTGTGTGTGTAATGAGTGGAGAGGTTATCTTCAATTTCCAGTATCAGAGGGTTAATTTTAGTTACCTGTTCTGTTAGATTAGCTGTTTGTACAGAGGATATCCTTCTAAGGATAACTGTCTGCTTTACCAAGCTCATTAAGATTTGGTATCGGAGCATCTCGGCAAGGTAGGCATTATTCCCTTTCATAGAGCAAGGAGCTTAGTCAGAGACAGGTTAATTGATTTTCACCAAGGTCACAGCAGAAGTGTGTTGCTGAACCTACATTTTCCAGCTCTGAAGCTCATGCTGTAACAAGACCTCTCTCATAAAAGGACAACATTGTGGCTTACTGGTCCCACAGTGGCTACTGCAAATTAAATGTTTGAAGCAGATGTCTGTAGTAGACCACAGTTGGCTTTGTGTGATGTTGCAAACCTGTCCAATTCCGTTGCAGTACTTGTGTTTGCATTCCTGTTGTTCCAATAATGATTTTTCTCTTTGGGTGATATCTATTTTTGTACATTGCTTGAATTGTATATTAGAATATACACTTACCATGGCAGTTAGCAAAAACATCTGGCATCTTGATTGTGTCTATAAAAAAACATGAATAGTTCAAGTGGTCAAGTAATGTGCCAAATTTAGAAGGGGTTTGAAAGTTGGGATAGTACGTTTTGTATAGAACACTTAACAATCAGCTTGAAATTGCTTCATTTAGAAATTGCCTGTGGTAATGAAAGAATGTCTTTTTATTTAGGTGGCACATTTGGAGCGAACGGGGCATTACTTAACTGTAAAAGATAACCAGGTGGTGCAGTTGCATCCCTCCACTGTTCTTGATCACAAACCAGAATGGGTGCTGTATAATGAGTTTGTCCTTACAACGAAGAACTACATCCGGACATGTACAGACATCAAGCCAGAATGGTAAGCTGAAGTCTTGCAACAGTTGTGATCTACTGTACAGCTCTTGGGTTTCTGTTTCGTTTTCTTAACTTGAGGTAATTCTTTTCACTCTTCATGAAGCCAGTTTTACTAAAATGGTTTGAGGAATGGCAGTGGCATGGACTTGAAATGGTGCAGATCACTAAAGGTTTTTGTTGTGGGAGTTGTGTTTAGAACTCATGGTGCCTGGGCTCTGTATGCAGTGCACAGAGAGATGCTTGACTTAAAAACAGTTACTTCGGTAAGCCTGTTTGGAAAGATCATGTCTGGGGATAAGTCCAAGCACCCACTTGCATACCTGAGTTAAGAGATTCCAGTAGGTGCCTCTGTTCTCAAGATCCAGGACCTCACTTATCTGGCTTCTTTCAGAAGGAGCTGAACAGGATTTTGTGCTTTCTTAAAATACTAAAGAAAGAGGTGGTAATAGTGGTACAAATTGCCTTGTCAAGATATTTATTCCTCAACAAGTGTATATCAAGGAAATAGAGGCCTGAACCTCTGCAGACAAGCAGAGATCGAAGTATCTTGCCTGTCTTTAAGGTTATACTTAAGCTGCCAAGTTGTAAGCTTTGGGGATATGGGAGGCTCTTCAGTTGCTGAAATTTTACCGTTGTGCAGAAAGAGTTTAAAGATTTGTAAGCTGGAAAATGCAGCATATATAGCTTGTAGTATCTTAATGAAAAATGTGGTTCCTTAGAACTCTTTTCTCAACAAACACTGCATAGCATAAAGCAGGTTCCTATGGCCTTAGTTGTATTTTTCAGCTTAAAGCAGGTAAGGCTGAACTGTACTCGGACACAAACTGACGTTTGGGTGGGCTTCTGTGGCTGGCGGCCTTGGACATTAGGCAGCAGCTCTGGCTGTGTGGGCCACCGTGGCAGGTACTGCAGCAGCAGTGAGGGTCTGTAAGGGGCACAGGGCATATCATGAGACTCGTGAGTGCTTTTTGCTTTGGACTTGAGCGCTTACACAGGATGGCACTGAGATTTTAGGTGTGTGTGCATGTGTGTAAAATTCAGTTAATCTTAGAATCGCAGAATGAGCTGAAAATAATGGATAACCTTTGTTTCCTTCTGTTGTAGAATTTCTCCAAGATGCATCTTAAAGTTTTGAGTATCAGTAACAAACTTTTCCTTTTTTGACAGGCTGGTGAAAATTGCCCCTCAATATTATGACATGAGCAATTTTCCACAGTGCGAAGCAAAGAGACAGTTGGATCGCATCATTGCCAAACTTCAGTCCAAGGAATACTCACAGTACTGAATTTATGCTTTGAACTGAAGTTATTCAGAGGACAGCTTTAAGAGATGAAAGGATTCAAAGTTCAAGTTGTGCTCTTCACTTTGGTTCAATAATGGCCTTTATTTGAAAGCTTTTTAATTTTTCTTTACAGTAAATATTCCATTCTGATTTCATAAATTAAACATTTATGCCTCCCTTTTGTGTTGACACTGTAGCTCATACTGGAAAAGCTAATCAATGTTTTGCAGTTTATTGAAAGTAGTTCTATATATAACAATGTTCTAAGCATTTCTTTAGAAATGGTTGAAAATGCTTCTAAAAATGTGATTATCGACCATGGTATGCATGATCGTTGTAATTGTTGACATTCCTTTTAGAAGTTGTGAAATGTTACAACTTGTGCTTCTGTAGACACAATCTTCAGCTTCAGTACAAAGGTACTGACTTCAATAAAGTCTATTTATACTAATTTTGTGCCACAGTATGTCAGTATTTCTATTGTTTTGATTGAAACATGAGAAGCCATTTAGTCTCCCAGTAAACTGCTGTTTGATTGACATGGCAGTAGTTTAATATTTTAATATTAAAAGTGCGGATGTTTAAGCAGCACAGTGATGATGACATCAGCGTAATGCATACAATGTTGATCCCTTGCAAACTTGTTTAAATTATTTAGGAAAAATGAAATGCATGCAGATGTGTTAGGAGAATGCTTTCTTCAAACATAGCCCTAAATATTTCTTGGACAGAACTGTAGTAATGTGTCCTGTAACGTGGAGTGTCTGTGGCGAGTTAGGAATTGCCCTGCTGGGCAGTGTTCAGGGACCATTTAGGATCAACACAAACAATAGCATAAGCGACACTGTAGGTCAGGTCACACTGCACCGCTGGAATTTTGTACGGATTTTTGGTGAAATATGATTGGACAGCATTTTTAATTTGGGAAGGCTAATCCCATGAGGAATTTGTAGTGAAATTTGATCAGAGGGCTGGAGCACCTGAGGAGCTCTATGAGGACAGGCTGAGAGAGTTGGCACTATTTAGCCTTGAGAAGAAAAGGAGGAGACCTTATTGTGGACTTCTAATACTTACAGAGGTTTTGTAAGAATGAGTTGTGGCTTTTTACCATGGCCTGTAGTGACAGGACATGGGGCAATGGTTTTACTCGAGCAGAGGGTAGGTTAAGATTAGACATAAGGAAGAAATTCGTCACTGTGAAGGTGGTGAGGTGCTGGAACAGGTTTTCCAATGAAGTTGTGGATGCCCAGTCCCTGCAGTGTTCAAGGTCAGTTTGATGGGGCTTTGAGCAACCTGGTCTAGTGGAAGGTGTCCCTGCCCATGGCAGGAGGGTTGGATCTTTAAGGTCTCTGCCAACCCAAGTCATTCTGTGTTTTAATGTATTTGATCAGATTTCAGTTTTTCCCTCCCCCTGGAATACACTGAGCTTTGGTCCTTATAGCAGAGAGGCTGGATCAGCTCTTGCTAAAACTGGTTCCCCTAGGAAGAGAGCTGTGCGCTGTCATGCTGTAAGGCTGAAGTAAAAATAGGTTAACCTCAGACGAATCTTAAGTACTGATGTTTGGTGTATCCTATTTAAATACTAGCAATGGACTATAAAATTACTTGGAATGGAATAATTTGAGGACTTCGTTAAATTCCAACTTTTTTTTCCTAAAATGCCTTTTATATGATGGGGCATAGAGAAGTTTTGAAAACCTTGTGTTAGCAACTAAAACAGTAATTGTGAAGGAAAAAATGTCTGAAGATTAAAATTTGAGTGGGTTTGTAATATGCAGTGGGACTTGGGGAGTCTGTCTCAAGTTTGATAAGTGAGTGAGGGAGTGGAGGACCTCCCCTACTTGAGGCATTGTGGAATGGGTCTGGACTCTCCTGCTCTACAAAATCATTTTCAGTAGGAAGGAGGGAGGTTGACACTGCATAAAATGTTGAACTGGATGGAGTTTTCTGACTGCAGGTGGAAGAGTTTTTATTTAAAACAGGGATTCAGAACTTCTTAAGCAACTGGATTTCATACTAGTATTCCTAAACATACAAATGTTGGTTTTGCAAATTCCTGCTCTAGGAGGACTCAGCCTGGTTTTGCCTGACTTGCTTATCCCCCACTGTGAGGGGGCTGCTTTGTGCAGTGCTGAAAACTGGCCGCTCCCCAGGTAAGAGAATTTCTCTAGGATTCGTCTGCAGCTTTCAGCTGAACGGTGTAGAACCAGCTTCTGCACAACTTTCCCTAGGTCTAGCAAGGGCCACAAACAGCCAGTTCTCTGCATGAAACCCCTCAGGGACCCCAGAACCAGCTGACATAAGCTGCCATAGCCTGGGTCCTTGGGGATGGGGGAGCAGATGGCTATGGCTGTGAGTGGAACTTGACACAGGAGAGACTTTGGCCCTTTTTTTCTTTTTTAAAATTGTCATACCCACAAACTCAGCTTGGGCTGTGACAGCTGACCTGGGATCTTTCACTTTGCTCTGTCTTTGCTACCAGGAATGCAAATACTACTGGCCAAACTCATGTCCTCTGGCAGCTGTGCAGCCCTGACACCTTCCAATTAAGCCAGTGACACCTGTGCAATCCACCTGAAGGCCCAGGGGGGCACCGGTGTCATGGGCTGAATTGGAAGGCTGTCGGTGTCCCAGCTGTCACCGGGGACAGAGCAGGCCCGGTGCCCCCTCCCCTCCTGACAGTGGGAATGTGAGCAATGGGAAACAGCTTACCTGCTGGGACCCTGATGGAATCTGGGGGCTAGTGCTTCAGGAATATACAGAAACCTAGACATCTGGGGAACCTGGTGGGTTTGGTGCTTGCATGACATTAGTGTATCTCTGGAAAACGCTCCCCTTACCGAAGAACTGACAAAGCATTTTCTCCTGGGGACTGCGTGTGTGACACAGAGTCATTCCCTCGCTAAGGCCCGGGGTGGGAGCGGCTTTGTGCAGGCATGTGCAGTCTGTTCTGTGCCCTGTACTGATCTCAGATAACTGAGGGTGTTCAAGGGTTCGGGGAGAAACAACACAAGCTCACTTAAATCACTGTGGACACCTTAGACTTACTGCAAATCTCACTTTTGATGTAATTTTAGAGCCTTATAGCAGTGGGAGGGGAGCCAGGTATCTAAGGAGTTACTGGCCCTCTCTGAAGGAGCAGTGACAGGGATAGCAGGGCTTCTTCAAGCAATGTTTCCTGGGTCTGAAAGGGAAGCTTGTATCAGGAGCCACCTTCTTTGCTGCTGCTGTCTCGGGGGTGGAGCAGATGCATGCAGAGAAGCTTGGGTTTTAGAATAGCCCTGGGTTTTCTTGAGTTCATTGTTGAAAGGTAAAACCTCATTCCCATTTTTCTGATGGGAAAACTGTCAAAAAAGGTTGCCCAGAGGAACAAAAGGAAACTAAGAAGGAGGTGTAGGAATAAGGCTGCTTTATCTATGAGCATATGAAGGTCACTGCCTCTCTGAAACTGTTACAGATACCTGCAGTCCTGCCCATCATCAGAGCTCTGGCTGCTTATACTGCACAATGCAGTAAATGGGGGGAAGAGTTGGAAATCAAAAGTTTGCTGGTGTCAAATAGAAATTCAGCTTCCCCTGTTTTTTGTCCTGTGAAATGCCACAACTGACTACAAGACCCTTCCTGCTGGCCTGAGGAGCGAGGGATCCTGGATAAAGCACAGAGCTGCCCCCACCAGCTGCAGCCATTTGCTGTTCAGTGTTCCCTGCCCTACTGATGCCACTTCAGAGCATCCAGACTGTTAGCCAGGTGTAAGCATTTTTGTTTTGGAGTACTGAGTAATGGCTTCTTAGGATTAGCTGGTTATCTGCTTTAGATTGGTCTGAAAGGTCTTTGTTTACTTACAGTGATCTTTTTATCAGAGACATTCTGGTGGTTTTGGAAAATATGTGGTTTGTATATAATAAACTATTTATAGTGTGGGACTTCTGAAAATACAGAATGGGTTAGATGATAGAAAAGCAGTACTAAGTGAAAGGGGTATATTTTTTGAAAAGAGGGGAGTCTTCCATCGTAATTGTGCTGCTGTGTAATACCTCAAAGCAGTAAAAGGGCTAATAATTGGTGTGATGTAACAAGTGTATTTAGGTTTGTTAGATACAGAGGTAGTTACTAATGGCTGAGTACATGTGGTTTAGGTATGTATCAGCATTATGGAGACATAAAGAAGTGACCAGTTATACTGTGTTTAGATTCGTAGGGATTTAACAGCAATTAGAATTTTTGTCAGAGAAAAGAAAAAGTGGTGACTCCATGCTTTGCCATGTCCCGATGTCATAACCCCCCCTGCACTCTTGCTTTTGGGAGATCTCTATGTAGTGCAGTGCAAAAGACAGGCGCTGAAGTTCCTTTAGGGTTTACAGGAGTGTCTCCCTTTGTTGTGCTGTGCCCATTCACTGAAGCTGGAGAGCAGTTGGCACGGGCCAGCGTGGGTTGGTACGTTCTGTATCGCTTGCGGCAGGTTTTTGTGACAGAGCAATGCCACCATTTCTGATCCCCACCTCCCTTTTCACATCAGGGCCTGTGACACAGCACTGGTTTGTGACATCTGATTTTCAACCTGCACTGCTACACAGTGCATACTGGGAACTGCTCATTATTTGCCATATTAAAGCAAAAATGCTGAAATTAGCTTTCACTATGTAATTTGAAAAGATACCTTAGCAAAAGTCAAAGGGCAAAGAGTTTTTCTTCCATCCAGTCAAGCTACAATTATTAATTTGTAATCAGATTGCTCTAGTTCATTTTCTGGTAATATATAGCAATAAAAAGCCATACCACACTATGACAGTAGAAAGCAGAGAGTTATATTCTAAAGTACACAGATTTATTCACTTACTGTAATTTGTAAGGAGTAGACATTTATCTTGGTTTTAGAACAGCTGAAGGTTTTAATAATAAACATAAACATATTTTACTATTAGAAGTATAATCTTACTCTGGTACTCTGTTGACCTTTTAAAATTATTTAACTTCATGACTATGTACGTGACATTAGATTTATGTGAAGCAGAGGGAAAAATGATCTACTTGGTCAACCTGGTTCCTTTTTCTACTAGTACTTCTGACCCTGGTAGCTTTGGTTTGGGATATGTATGCTTCCTAGAACTGTTCCTACAACTGGGTGTTATTCCCCAGTAATACAAATGTGAGATATTTTTGATCTTGAAATGAGCAGCTTTAAAAACAGAATGAAACCATTATGAGAGTGTTTGCCCCTCTCTTTGCTTTTCCTTTTGCGAATGACAAGCTTGGGCTGCCTCTAATTTGCACTGATGTGTTTGAGATAAGTGGTTGGCATCAAGGAGATCCAAGCTTCCAGTATCAAGGGATTAAACTAAATATGGTAACAGCAGTAAAATAACATTCCTGTAGCAGTGGTAACAAGACTAATTCTGTGTTATGATTTTGCAGTTTCAACTCAAATATGGTAGTTTCTCAGGAACACTGAAT